TCCTCTCCTCTAAATGGTTACTCTACCCTTTACGTGTAGAACTATTTCCGTTTTCCTGCATCAAAATGCGTCATAATTCCGCAAAATTCTACAGTTTTCACTTCAGCACAAAACAATCAATCAATAAATATGCACAATAGCCATAAAGAATAAAGGATTTCGACTAGAAAGAGGGAAGCGCCAATGCTTTGCAATGCAAAAAAAAACAACAAAAAAAAAACAAGCACAACAAAACTCAGCGCATGCAATAAAAACACTCACATGCCTTCACATAAATTATGCAGTAGTAATAACAATAACGACAGGCAAGCAACAATCAGCAAATATTGAACCAGCCACACACACACACAAAAACACGCGCTTAAACATACATATCAGCGTTCATCAAAAATGTGCGCTCATGCGCTTTGTTTGCTATACTCGTAATAGCCAAAAATTGCTAGGCATACACACATCTCATCCGCAGCGAGCTAGTTGACTGCGAATAAAGTGGTAAAATATTTATTTTCCATTCTGCTGTTTGTTGTTTTAGTTTATTTATGTTCTTATTGCTGTTGTCCCTGTTGTGCTGCTCATGCATCACATTGAAAACTCAAAAATAATCTCTTCTGTATGGCGATGAGAACGTTGCTTATTTGTTTTAACATTCAATTTTATTGTTATGGATATAATGCCGATGTATTACACAAGTAGCAAAGGAAACAATTTATTCTTGTTATTGTTGGGCTCGCATGGTTCTTTTTATTATATTTTAACTTTGATCAGCAATCGATCCATTTAAATCATAAAGTATAAAGCGTATTTTTTCGGTAGCATACTTTGGGGGGTTAGCGCCTTTAAAAAACATACAGATGTTCATATGAAAAAAATAGAAACGCATGTACCACATACATGTATATATAGCGCCTAAGGCAGTTTTCTAACGTTTAGTTAATTTGTCAAAATTGCGATATTAAAAAATGTATAAACCAAGCATATCAATTTCTACATTTATAAAGATAACGATGACGAAAAAATATCGTCGTTGATAAAATTAGCAACAAATAAGCCAAATGGCTGGATCTGCAAAGAAGCATTGATCTCCCTATATATACTCATCTATTCTTGTTTACTATCACTCCTACCTATAGTAGCGAAATCCACTAGCAGCTGGTTGCATTAATTTGAAGTTGGTATCCCTGGTTTCACCAACAACTAATTTAGGGAAGAGTTTTCTAACTGCGGTCGACCCTCGGCAGGGAATGGCTTATCTCCAAGTGCACTTCTGCATAGAACAATCATAGAATTCATAAAAACCATTTGCATTTTGGAAGCGGCGTAAAATTGTTGGTCCCTCCATTTGTCTTATAACATCAGGATGTACACAACAAATTTATGGAGAACCTCTGCCAAAAGTGTGTGGAAAATATTGCTCATACGCCATGTACTTACCAGTTTTTACGAATACGGCCATGCTCCTACATACATACATAATTTATACGAACAGTTTTCGCACATTTTCATTTGACCATGCACAAAATGCTTATTCACCCATTGATTTACATCGTTGGTAGTTTTACTTTTTTGCAAAAACCAGGCTTTAATTCTAATGAAAAAATCACAAAAGATTTGTTATTTTTTTAATTTTTTCCTGGTTAAACTTTATGTCCACAGCAACAGACCCGGATATGTTTTGCCTTTTCAAATCACTATATCTTGGAAATTACCAGTCGGATTGTCCTAAAATTGCATGACATCCGCAACAAAAGTGTTTTACACCATATTCAAAAGAGAGAGATTTGACTACCTGGGTCAGGTATTTGTCCATTTTTCGATTTATATTTCTTACGTCAACAGCTACATACCCGGGTATGCACATGGAAACGCATGCAAATATGTTGCTATCATTGAGAAGAAAACTGTAGTGCGTTTAAAATTAAAAAATAATACAAAAATAGAATGACAATATAATAAGATGAAATATATTAATAAATAGGAAACTATAAAGTTTTTAACTACATCTATTGCATTGCGGAATATTGAAAGAATTTTCTGCACACACGGGTCTTTTTCACGATATGTAGGCTTTCTGTATCGGGCGTCTTTTGGCTCATATATAGTGAAATTATCCTTTGCTTTTATTCTGCCCGCGCTGTATGTTCTTCTTCGCCATCCATTATCCTAGAGGAACCACCATTTAGTGCTCCATTGACGTTGCGTGTAGAGAATATTATGGATATTCGACCAGTATTAGCTGTAACATCTATTTCCGGCTTCGCCAGTTTCTCGCTAAGATGATTAAGGAGATTTCTTTATTCCCACGGCGGTTTGTAAAAATCTCCTGAGATGGATTGCTCCATATGGAGTTTCATATCCACCACACTTTTATTTCATATTTAGCAGGTTTTGGTGGTATATATGGTGTGAAACTAATTACACCATGGAGAAGATGCAGTTGCCCATCAGCAGTGGCGTTGGCTTCGGCTACATCATTGCTATGTAGATTGATGCTGATCATAAAAAAAAAAACGTCATACACTTGCATTGCAGCACGACATATCGGATTTGAGGTTGTTTTTTTACAATTGAATGAATGAGTCACGTCACTTAGCAAAATAACACCCGAATACGCATAAAATTTACTTTTTGCTTTGGCTTTCTATGTTTACAGTTCTCTTGTTGGGTTTTTGTGTACTCCAATGTTCTTAACATTGACTTGTTTTTCTATTTGTTTCACGAATAATTATCCGAGTAGTATGTTGTGGGTTCAGTAGACCAAATTGTTCCACCTTTGCCAGTTTAGTTTCCTCGGTTTGGCATACTAAATCATCAAGTTCTTTATCATCTTCAATTTCATCTTCCGGGTCGTAGTGTGATAACTGGATTTCTTCTACTTCGTGGTCATCTGGAGTTCCATCATGTCCGTGATCGCCCACAATCTCTTCAGTTACCAATGGCGCATCGTCACTATTTTTCTCTCGTAAATCTCTAAGTTTTTTATGAAAGCATTCTTTCGGTTCCTCAGTATCAACTTTACTTATTTGTCGTAGAATGGACCATTCGCCATCTGCAATTTTAGTTTTAAAAATTTTATTTTCTTGCGTTCAGTCTACAAATTCCCACAACATGGATTATAAGTAAATGTCAGAGCTTTTTTGAAAGAAAAATATGCAAGTATTTCGTGTGTGAGTCCAAGAAATCTTGACTTCTGATATTTAACAGCCTGCTGTCCCACTCTTTTCTCACGAAATAATGGACCGGGCGTATATTTCTTGTACAAAATGGGTTGAAAACTGTAGTAGAAAGCGTAGTAAATTTCGTAAGAACTGCGTACCTATTTATATCGAGTTTTGGTTTTCTTGAGAGCTGGATTGTAGTTAATCTTAAAGTTTGAATTTTTGTACATTAAAATTCAAATATCTTAGGAAATTGGGCGGATTTTCAAAAACGGTATACAGATCCATAATCCACGACCCAATATTAAGTTTACGAATTTCGCCATTTTTTTGTGTCATATTAAAAGTGTCGATTTTCCTTACAGTATTATTAGCCCGAGGAGAGAAGTTTCTCATTTTCCGTGGTGCGTTGCAACATTGTTTCAATAGTGAGGAAATCTTTCGTAGAAGTACAGTTCTAAAAATCTCGACGGCAATTTTTATATAATGAAGCACATCATGCACAGGAAATTTGCGTATTGAACGCAACCCAATTAGCTAATTACAATCATCAGATTCATGTTAACTACGCTGTGGTTTAAGTAATCTAAGCGAAATATCTTTGTACTGTCATTCTAGTTGGTTCTACCCTCAACTAACTAATCAATCGCTTAAAACAATTATCATAAATCAAGGAAAATAGGATATCAAGTGATTCTCCTGCTATAGGTATTCCTACCGTCGCACAATGGGGTAGATAAACTTAAAAGCTGTCAAAAATTAAAAAAAAAATATTGATTTCAGGATACTTTCACCATATTAATTAATGGGAAAACTAACCAGGTTACCAGGAATTGAACAAAGTTTCGAAAAATTTCAATGCTTTTAAATTCGATTTTAAGAAAAATTTTGAGTATGCAGTTTTGTCGCCCTTTTAGTTTTAAGAAATTGCAAACTTGAAGTAGCTGAGACTTACTGCTGATTTTTGAATATATATTTTTTCTAAGCAAATACTCGATCCACTTTAGAATATCTAAAAGCTTTAGTTTATTTAATGACAATTATGAAGGTCTCCTGCCCCAGTGTGCGTCGTACAATGCATTCGCCTTGTTTATCCTAAACTCAAATGCAAAACAGCCATTTATAATGGTTTTAGCAATCATTTTTGATTTGTATGTATACTCAAACATACATACATGCATACATTGCATACGTATGCTGAAAGTACGCTCATAACATCCGCTATTAATCATCTCACATGAGTGAGTGAAATTGCTTTGCTGCTGATTCATATCCCATTTAAGCAGATCTTTTGTGTTGCAGATTTTTCCACACACACTTAGGCGTACGAATACTCATGCAGATGTGAAATTTTCTATATGCAGCACAGCGAACTCAGCTTATAGTTTATTTGTGTATATTTTTGATACTCATCTAGTAAAAATTAGTGCACTCTTGGAATAAAAACATTAAAATTTTTTATTCTAAGACTAAAAGAATGTCTTAAAGTTGCTTTATTTTTTTTTCTTAAAAGATTATGAGGGCGAATAAACTTCAGAACAGCTAAAGCTCTGTATTATTTTCTACCGCAAAATAAATTGACGACCCTCAAGTTGAACAACATAAGCTAAGCGTGATCTTATCTACACAAACTTCATATTCCCTCTAAAACTGAACTGAACTTAAATAATACTCCGAACATATGTATCTACAATATTTTATTCCCAAATAGCATTTGGCAAATACCCTTTGAAAAATTAAATATTCCTGAAACTAATTACCTATATTTATATCTATTCTACTTCTAGACATGGTACGAATTGGAGCGTTACCTGCGCGATGAACCCAAATTGCAGTCCTACAAGAAAATCCACTCCGAGATCGACACCGCTTGGGATCTGCTATCGGCACCAGCGCGCATTTTGGAAGAGCTAAAAATCAAAGAGCAAAATCTCGATTCAGTTTCGACCACATCGTCAGTATCGTCGACATGTTCGGGCATGTCGTGGGACAGCAGCGGCTCTCAAGCTCTTAGCTGTTCAGTTGTGGTCAAAAAGGAACGCATCGACGAGGAGGATGACGAGCTGCATTCAGACAGTTGCGAGGAGAAATTCACAGCATCGGCGTTGGCTACATCGCTGGGCAATGCTGCTGCCACTTCACTCGCCTATTCACCATGTGGATCTGCCTCGAGCACGCCCACGCCGGTTGCGGGACCTATCAATGCTGCCACCAATATGGGAACCACGCTTTCGACGGTATCGGAGAAGGGTATCAAGGTGCGTGTGATCGCCACAAAGGCGCATAATAAAGGCGCTGGTAGTCGTGCTAATGGCATTAATGTTAGCGTCAGTAGTGGCCATAACAACAACAACAACAATAACAATCAAAGTAACAGCAGCAGCAGTACAAGTCCGCACGATTACATGTTGCCGACGTTAACGCCGCCATCATCACCCGAGTCGATACGTACCAGCAACTCAAACAACGCGCAGCAGCAACAACAACAGCAACAGCAACAGATCGATGCTAGCACTTTGAGTGCTACTGAATTGGCAGCACTTATTCAGCAACAACAACAGCAGCAGCAGCAGCAACAACAGCAGCAGCAACAACGTCTCGGTCAAACGCAATATTCTGCTGGAACGCCTACTTCTACCGCCATACTACGCTTCTCCAGTGCTGTAACGACACTGGTCAATAGCAGCAAGAATCCTACACTGACGTCGACTACAGTTCCTCTGCTACAACAGCAACAGCGACAGCAGCACCTGCAACAACATCAACAACAACAAAAGTCACATTTGAGTATACAAACTGCCAGCGCTGGCACCAATACCGAACCGCATCCGCAACAACCAATCACACAGTCACAGCCATCAGTATCGTCTTCATCGTCATCGTCGTCATCCCCGTCTACGGTACATAGCAACATTCCGCGCAGCACCATTGTTCGTCTTACATCGGCGAATGGTACGAAAAGTGGCGGTATTAGTTTGGCGCGCGTCATACAAATGCAGAATAGCGGTAGTGGGAGTGTAGCAGCAGCAATGTTGAATGAGACGTCTACGTCTAAGCAACAACAGCAACAAATACAACAACATGTGATGAATATGGCGGTGACAGCAGCGCAGATCGCACAGCGTGGCACCCAGCTGCAGAATCCACAAGTGACCGCATGTGAGTAGAGTTACCTACATATGTATGAAGATAAAAACACTTAAATTTAAGTTATGACTACGGTGACCATATTTCTGTGGGAAAAAATCGGGACATTTGTAATGCATCGAATCCGAACACACAATTTTGTTTTTAAAATAAAAATACATGACATCTTTTAGTACAGTTTTGATTAAAACAAAACAAAGAGAAAATATTTGAAAAATTATAGCAAAAATGTATAAGTTGTGGCTATTTTTCTTTATTAAAAAAAAAAAATATTTTTTTTTATGAAAATATAGCTTATTATCTGAAAAACGACTAAGTAAATCAAAATTTCAAAACTTTGAATTTTAACAAATGCTGATAAAATTTATAAACATTTTAAACAGATTTTTTAGAATTGTTTTGAGTATGCCCATTCAATTCATAGTGCAAGTTTGAAGTAGCTTGGACTTACTGTTGATCATTGGCAATTTTTTTGTTCGTACAAAATATGGAGAAAATTAGCAATACCGTCCACTAAAAAAACTACCAAAAATCAACGGTAAGTCCAAGCTACTTAAAATTTGCACTTTGCATTGAATGGTCTACAAAGTTGCATACTTATAATGTTTTTAAGGAATCTAGTTAAAAAGCTCAAAATTTTGATGAGACTTTGTCGAACTTAGCTAATTTTTGTACAACGTTTGAAATTTGACTTGCACGGTCTTTGTTAAATAACCAGCTACACTTTCTTAAAAAAAAGGAAACATTAAATAATCGAAAGGCTAATAGCCAAAGAATGTTAAAATGTCTCTTCTCTATTTATATGTTTGCTAATGTATTTACAGCTTATATTTTTCATATCCATGAATTTTTTGGGGGAATTAGTATTTGATTTAACTCAAACTAGAATCGTTTCATGAAAAAAAAACTTAGCAAAAAACAGAATAAAACATAACCAAGGATCAACGAATGTGCGGCCACGTTTGTAAAAAAAAATGTTTTGGGTCAGAGTATCGAGACACTCTTTTTAAAATAATAAAGAAAATACTGAAAATCGGAGCATAATCAGTACAAATATGAAAAATCAGGACACTTATACGTCCCGACTTTTAAAAAATATTCAGTGGGACAATTTTCTCGAAATCGGTACTTTCCCGCCAAAATCGGTACGAATGGTCACCGTAGTTATAGCAGATATAATAAATTTACCGAAGTGAGAGAAAAGAATAGAAAGAATAGTGGATGAAATGTTGTTTTTTTTCCTTCTTTAAATAGAGATTTATTTTATAACGTATCTATTTATAACCGACTTCAAAAAGAGAAGGAGTTTAAGGTGGTATTATAATTTGGTTTAGATCTGATCATTAGATTATTAAAAAATTAACGGTACTCTTAAATTTTTATATGAGAATTGATGTCGGTTTTGTTTTTTTTTGCTTACAAATTACTTGTATCTTTTCGGTTGATGTATTTAAAATTTGATTTTGTTTTTGAGCATTTAATTTTAGTTTCAAGTCCGTTTGTAATTAGATATTAAATTTTTTAAAGCGAGGTGCCACTCAGCCATTTTTATTATTAATCTTTTTGCTCGCCATGAGTATGAAATGGACTCATGTAGCAGCTTACCAGAGTTTTAGTGCAAATCTAAATTTAACCTCTCGTTTGATAACCATATTAGACAAAATACGTTGCTGGTTATCCGGGTGGCAGAAGGATCGATTTTTTAGTAAATTTAATAAGGAACATAACCTGAATTGGGTTTCATTCAAGCGCGGCCTCATTTTGTTTCTTCTAAAAAATGTTGCCCTTTAAGGGGAAATTAATTAAAAGGTGATATTTTTTGGTAGAAACGAAAACACCATATATAAATCGCCGAATTTTACTTTCCAGTTAATTAAATTAAAAATTTCCTATTATTTTATCGCTAGAATTAATACACAAATCTATGCTAATTTTTTTCTACAATTCTCTATCAATACAGTGACTACTAAAAACCACCAGCGACTACATGATCACAGTCCAGATGCCAAGCGCCGGATACACAAGTGCCAATTTTTGGGTTGCAAAAAAGTTTATACCAAAAGCTCACATCTAAAAGCGCATCAGAGAACGCATACCGGTAAGTGATGGAGTAATGGATTGTAAATATGTGTTGTATTTGAAAAGATACATTCATACAAACTAATAATTATTTGCTATGGATTGTTATTATTGCTAATTGTTTTACATGCTTATACGTGTATGTAGTTCTTACCATAACTATACAAGTTTTGGCCATATATTTTATTATTCAACTTTCATTATTTTTTTTTATAAAAAAAATAAAAACATATATACTATATATGCAATATATGTAGCTCACTCTATAACATAAAAAACACCATATAAGTAAATACAATTTTCAAACTTTGTACAGAAATTTAAAAAAGCAACAAATTTTCTCCAAAATTTTACATTTCTTGTTCAAAATTTTCAGATTTTTTTGTTGACGGTGTTGTGCGTTTTCCTCCATTTAGTAACAACCACTCACAACAAAAAAAAATGCCAAAAATCAACGGTACAAAACTGCATACTAGCGTGGGCCGAAAATCCGCTTTTTTAGAATTTTGATTGGTAATAGCAAAAATATGGTTCATTATGCTCGCCAAAGTCCATCAGACGTAAAACCGTAGACCGTGTCAGCTGACATGACCTGTCTTATGGGATTCCGTGATCTCAAAATCAAATCTTCATTCTGGTTACGCCTCTTAAAAAAAAAATCAAGCTACAAATGAAGAAAATCATTGGATAAATAAAAACGAGTGAGTGGTAAAATTAAAACAAGCAAGGAAATTTTCTATTAAAGTGAGCAGGGAGGAGTGTATGTACATGGCGTATGAGTAATATTCGTTCCTACTCCTATTTCATTCATACAAAAAATATTTGCTCATTTCATTTGACCACTCATACCCTTTTTATTTATCTTTCGATTTTCTTTATCAGTAGCTCGATGTTTTGTAACAGAACAGGCTTCGTCACAAATTGAAAACATTTACACAGAATCTTATATTTTTTAATATTTTCCCTGTCGAAATTTGAATTTGTTTAATTTTTCATAAAAACAAAAATCTGGAGTTAATTAATAATTAATTTCTAAGAAAACATCAGGCTTATCTAAAAGTGATAAGTATACAGTTTATGAAGAATTTTGTCCGCTTTCATTCAATGAAAATCCTCTGAGTGTATTTCTGCAACGAAAACCAGCTTCTCTTAAAAATACAATCGCCGTTCGAAGTGGCCCAGAACTTTTTACGAAGGTTTATTGAATTTTTTTGTTTAATATTTCACAGAGTTCTGAAGCACTTTAAGCTCAGAAATTACTGCTTTTTTTGTGAATATCATACATCATACTAACTAACCAACACAAGACCAATAGATACACAAACACAATAAAATTCACCGCAACAATAAAAATTATTAGATCAAGGCACCCTCATCAATTCAAAGATGATGCGTTATGACATACATACATACTTACAAGCAAACATATGTGTATGTAACACAGTCTTTCGCCAGTGCCATCTTTCGAAGAGTGATTAAAGACCCTGTCATCAGAGAGGCTGAGCAACAGGCAGATGCTTAGCTTGAATTTTGAAGTAAACCTATAAATATATTTAACCTAGTAATATATCAAACAATAAAAAAACATACTCACAAATCCTATGGCCATGCTGAAATAGTGGATACCTCCTACTAATAACAATTTCACACACTCAACGCAGTAAACGGTGGTAGCAACATTCGCATAAAGGATAACGGATAACGTAACCATAGGAATGAATGTCAAAATGTGTGAATTGCGACACTTGCACACAAAAGTATGTATGTACATACATGTGTATCTCTGTATATCTATGTATTTTTGCAACATAAAATATGACTCTTTTCAACACAAAAATCAGTCATTTCATCAAAATTATGGTGAGAAATTGCCGGGACGCAAGAATTGATGGGTTTAGTGCAAAACTGCCTATGTACGAGTATGTATGTACATATGAATACACATCCCAAACTATACCTACATCTACATATTTACACACATGTGCACTTCCACATATGAAATATTGGAGGTTTGTGCTTTCGTGCAGAAATTTTGAATGTTTTGCTGTCAAGTGAGCTTGATGATAAATTTTTCAACAGTTTTTACTTGCGCAAAATGATGCTTTTAGGCCGAAGTGCTTGGAAGAGTGAACAAAACAATAACTCAATGTATCGTAAAATGTGGATAACAAAAGCATTTATGTGAAATATTTATACATTTGTACACTGAATACTGCTCTCAGCTGGAAATGGACTTTGGAAAAAAGTCAATTTCTATTATTTCTAGTGGCAAGCACCAAAAATTGATATTTTTTTGTTAAATTTCTACACAAGTGCATGCATTTGGCAATAGTTTCGTATACTGAAAGCTCTTTGGTGCTTGTGAAAGGATGCTAAAACTCGAAGTTTTTACTTAAGCTCCTAAATGCGCTCAACAAAAATTGCTGGCACTCAAATTTTAGCGCTATATACTCTGTAAAGCGTTAATTGAAGCATTGCACATAAAAAGTTACCAAAAAGGTGCCGTTTTTTTTCAAATACAAAAATTTATTTACAAATACTTAAACAAGTCCTCCGTTGGGTCATAGTTTATGCGCCAATTCTAGATTTTCCAGGAGATAGCACGTTGCCATTTTAACCAAACATCAGTAGATTCAATATATTTTTTTTTTTAATGTATGGTCTTGATCATAGTGATGCGTTGGGTAATCTCAACATACGTAGTCTTACAGCTTAAAACTCAATGATCCGTAGCCGTTTGAGATTTGATTTGTTTCTGCTGATATAGAAGTGCGCACTAACATTCCGCAGGGCCTGGGATCGAGCCAAGCTTCCAACTAACTTCAAAAAATGTAAAAGAAATAGTTGTTTCTAATAGCGGTCGCCCCTCGGCAGACAATGGGAAACTTCCCAGGGTATTAGTGCTATAAAAAAAGCGTAAAATTGTTGTTCCCTTCCCTTTTTGTGACAACATCAAGGCGTACGCCAGAAACTGAAGGAGAAGTGCTAATCTATTATTATTACTATAAAGGTTTCCACATTTTTCCCCCATTTATTATGAACCTAACACCCGTTATGGTGTCTATTTTCTACTTTTAGATTTCACATTTCCACCTTTCTAAACACACGACGCAACAATCCTCTGCCCTCCAAACAAACCCATAATTTGCTTCAATTATTATTATTTATTATTTTATTTATTATTATTTTTTGGAAGAACAAGGGGTTTAAGCTCAAGGCTGATAGAGTGGCTCTACCATATGATCGTCCGTCCGATTGTGTCTTCTGCATGCATAGCATGGCGGTAGAAGACACTTCAAAAAAACTGTCATAATTCACCTTAACAAACTGCAAAGATTGGCATGCCTATCCGTTACTGGATCTATAAGAATGTGCTCAACTGCGCCTCTAGAGTCACTTCTGGGATGAACTTCTCTCCATATTTCTATCCAGTAAACGCCAGCCACGAGCGAGCTGTAACTTTGACTATCTAACGACGGCTTCATCACATGCTCCATTCAGGTATTCTTGTGAAGATACCAGGGTGAGAAATATGCGGAATCTCTGATTCCATGACTAAAGAGGTCTGCTTTGGCAGAAAGTTCTAAGCGATAATCTCCGATCGCGAAGGTTAGGCAAATGGGCTCCCTGAAATTGATCCCAGTTACGTACACTAGGTCAGCGATAGTTTATGGATGGAGGGCAGAGCAAGTGCTGGTATTTTTAGATCTAGCACCTAGCTTGTAATTCCCATGAACAAATGGCCCATGGTTTTTGAGGCTGAAGCAGTCGAAATTTTAAACTGCGCAAAATTAAACCTTCAAAAGGGTTTGAAGGGCGCCTTTCTGGTAATCTTTTCAGATAACCAAACAGCCATCTGGGCCCTTTCAAACAGGACTATGAAATCCCTGCTGGTTAGAGACTGCATTGACATGCTACAAATTTTGGCAGCCAGGCTATTGTGGACTCGAAGGCAATGGGGTCGCCGACGAATTGACATTAGAAGACCATTCTGTGGTATCAGCTCATCCTCTTCAATAGTCATAATTACTAAGTGGGTACACTCTGAACGCATTAAGTGCTGGGCAGCTTTTCAACAGAGACGATTTTATTTCAGAAAATACAAATGGCATCCGGCTACTTTCTGGGTAACTGACTGGTCACAACGAATTGAGATTCCACTTGCACCGAATAGGTGTGATCACAGAGTGGGAATGCCGGATCTGCTTTGAAGATGATGAAACTTCATAGCATATTCTCGGTCACTGACTGGCTTTGGCCAGACAAAGATTGATCGATTTTAAGCCTTCAAAAGTCGGTGGTATTGTAAAGAATTCACCTATTAAAGCCCCTTTTAGGATTCATTAGGGAAGCCGAAGGTATCTTGACCACATTGGGTTAGGGATTCTCTCTTTAAGATACACAGAAGATATTTTAGGTAGCGGTGTCTTTTGTTATGTTACACCCAAGAATTAACTAACTACTAACTATGTTACAAATTTCTTTCACCTCCGCTATCGTTATTGTGGTCTCCTGAAAGTTTTTCTAACTCCATATACTAAATCTTTCTGAATGAAATTAATTTGTATACACAATTTCACTGTGTGTATTTATTTTATAGCATAATCACGTAGAATAAATCGCTATGCTTATAAAATTGTGTTTAATAAACTTCCTCCGGCAATAACAAATGTTTAGTTGCGTGACAATCTACCTTCTTCTACTTCTATAATCCTTTAAAACCCTAAATAAATAAAGCAAATTGCTTTACATAATAAGAAAGCCAATAATGGTGTAAACTAACTTTTCATTCAACAAAACAAACATTTTGTTAGGTAAACGAAAATGCTTTAGTTTTTTGGAGCTGGTAGAATTATAAATATTGTAAATAAATTAACAAAATTAATACATATGGGCTTATTCAGGACCTTGAAACAGGCTTACTAGAGCTTTAGAAATATACATTTAACAAAGAATTTAAAAGTCTGTATTCCGAATCGACAATTAAACTAAGGAAGACGTGTAGCCTTGATAATAATC